AGCTTTAGAAATCCGCTGCTCCTCCAGATCTTCCACTGGATGCTTGGAGGCATCTGCAATTAAAGCCTCCCTGTTAAGGTGGACGGTGATGTCATTCTGCCATAAGGGTTGTTGGCTTGGATTGTTTAGAACAGGGGTCTGCAACCTGCAGCTCCAGACCCTCTGCAATGGCTCTGAGGGGCTAAAAATTATATAAAGAACTAACTATACTACAATGATAAATACCACTCTTAGAACCTTTAGGGGTTTTTATAAAGAATATTTGTCTTGAATTTTCCAAACATAAGGACATCAAAAGCAGAAGAAATATGTTTCTAAAGCCATTTTTCTTCAAATTAGCTTGGAAATTATGTGTTATATCATCATGTTTTTGCATCAGAAGAAAACCCTTGCTTTGGCTTTATGAATGATTTTATGTTTTTCCTTATTCTAAAAGCTAAAAATACAAAATTGCTTTTAGCTGTTTAAGATGGATACAGATGTTATTTCACAAACATAATAGGTTTTGTTGCATTGAAAAATTACTTTGACTAAGGACAAAATGGCTCTCTGGATATGATAGGCTGCAGACCAACGGTTTATGATGGGGGGTGGGAACACATGTATCATTTTACTATTAATTAAATATGAACTCTTTGGGTTTATTGATCTATTACAGAAAAAAAGCTTAATTAAACCAAAAACAAAATGAGGAAAACTTTATGGTGTCTGAATTACAGGAGAGGCAATGCAGATTTAAAATTGAGTGCTCATGAAAACCCAAATCAAATGCAAATTCATTTGGCTTAAAGCAACTTAAACAAATAGTCACAGCTTATTACAAACCTCTGTTCAGACCCCCCATGACAGCCACAGTGCCATTCATAACCTTGATGGCCCCCGGCTACAGACGTGGTAATCCCGTGTGTAGAGCAACAGATGTTTCTCTTAAAAACATCCGTTCACTCTGCAGCAAAGCAGTCTGCCGCCTATTCTCCGAGGAGATCAAAGGCACCAGTGTAATCACTATGAAATCTGACATATTTGCACTGGTTTGCAGGGACATATTGACTTACAGTAGGCTTACTGTGCTTTAAAACATAAACAATCTCTTTCTCTGTCTCCTTTTTAAGCAAGGCCCCTACCCATGTTTTACGAGCAGGCTTTCATGTTGTGTACATGAAAAGGCCACAGAGAGAAAGAGCGAAGGAGGGCTGGGTGAGCGTGTGTGGCAGGGGAAAAGGGAGAAGAAAATGCATATGAAACAACAACCCCCCCTGACAAATAAACAGTGCATTGTTCCCATGGCAGCGCGGTGCATTAATCTGACGGCTGGTTTCCCATGGCTGTGTCTCCCTGCCCTGTAGACCTCAGCTCTGTCTCACTGATGGCTCCTGTGATTGCAATCATCCATCTTACTGTCAAAAAAAAAAAAAAAAATGGGGCAAGAAAGAGAGGGAAATCACACACACCATCTCACTTTCTCTCCCTAGTGTCCGGCAAACAAGCCATCCCACTGAGAGCAGAGCCAACACATGGAGACAACAAAGGCCCAGCTCTGCACCCTGTATGTGTGTCCATGCTTGTATGATTAATACAGGGAACATGAGTGGGTGTGCATCGTTTGGTTGTCTCTGCCCCGCACCATGTTGCATGATCAGTCACTGGAGTGCACGCCGGGGAACGATGGACATGTCTGATCTTGCAGCCGATCAAAACCACCAGAGACTTGTTCCCTTGTGGCCACGCAAGCGGGGGCCTCAAATCAACACGTCTCTGTTCAGTAGACAGGAAAAATAAGAGTGCGGAGGAGGAGGTGGGGGGGAGGGAGCACATGAGAAGGGAGACTGAAATACAGATGAAAGAATTCATAAAGAGTCCAGAGAGGAGTGTGAAGACGACTCATAAACACGCTTATCTCTCTGTTCTCAGGAGCTAATTGAACAGCAAAAAGTCAACTCTGTTTTTGTAAAAGCTGTGATCCTGCTCCAGAAATCTGACAGAAGAAAACAAAAAGGGTGATTTAAAGCTATAATGTTTGTTGCCCTCCCTGATGAACTCAGCAAGAGCAAAATAAATGAGGCTGCAGAGTGTTCATGCTTGTCTCTACCGTTTAATTGTGAATCTGTGGTGTAAAGCGAGGCGGTGGTCGTTGTTCTCTATGCACAGAACATTCTAATATCATATCTTTTAGTGCTTCTTTTGTATTTAACAATGCAAAAAATAGCAAATAAAAATTATATTGAAGAATTTTGAAATTGAAATTTCCAGCTTTGATGGATTTAAGGAAGATATTTGAGGGTATTTACTCAAACTAGAAACAATAGGCTATAAAGAGATATGTTAACTATAAAGAGATATGCTAACGAACAGCTATCAAACGTTGATTTCGAAGATATATGCAGTAATATTTTGAATTAAATAAATATATAAAACTTTTTTAACCATATTTTTTAATAAGGTAACTGCAATTTAAAAAAAAAGCATAAATTATGACAGAATTTCAGCTCTAAAAATGCTTTTTATTAGTGCTGTCAAAATTATCGCGTTATTAACGCGTTAACGCGAGGCCATTTTAAAGGCGATAATTTTTTTAACGTGAGATTAACGCTATGTGGTTTTATGGTACAATTTTCCAAGTACATCCCGCTGCAGCCTGCGGGAAGGCGGGGCTATTTTCCCCCAGTCTATGCATTTCTCATAGGCTTCGAGAGCGGACCTCCTCAAGGGAAAAAGACGCTCATACACTGGGTGACGCTAGTGCCTTTTCTTTAAGCCCCACCACCAACCAACAAGTTGAGTGTCTGGTAACTAGTAGCAACCTGAAATTCGCTGAGAAAACAGATTACTGAGGTGAAATGGAATCTCGTAGCAGCACTCTTGCCGTCTGTGTACGCAACAGGTCGGTATCGTGTGTGTGGGTGGGTGTGTCTGTGTGTGGGTGAGTGGATGTGTGTGTGTTCTCATTTTTGTTAAGAGGCTGAAAAGTAACTTTCTAGAGCATAGACTACCTTCATCTAGTGATGTCGGTCTATTGATTTTGATGTATTGATTGAAAATTGTTCATTATTATCTTGGTTAATTAACATCTAATGTTAACTCTACTAAATTTTATAGCAGTAGGGTAAAATGCTTGTCTTTGTTCAAAAGACTGTATTAACTGTAAAGACTGTCTTTTACATCAGCCTGTTTTCAGGGCCTTTTTTTTGGCTACATATTTGTTATTTTTTGCTACATGCCTCCCCATCTTCTTGCCATATGTTTCTATGGCATAAATCAGTATCTGTGACCTGTTTTCATTTAAAAAAAAGAACATTGGCACAAACCTAGCCTGTATGTATTTTTTTGTATGTCATCGAGAGTATTTAAATGATTTTCAATCAGGAAAAAAATGTGCGATTAAAATGCGATTAATCGCGAGTTAACTCAGGCATTGATGCGATTAATCGCGATTAAAAAATTTAATCGATTGACAGCACTACTTTTTATATTTCTTACCCACACTGTAACAAATTGCTGTATAAAAACGGCCAAAACTGAACAGTATCATATTGTTTCTATTGAAAACGGTACTGCACCGTGAAAAACAATGCATTCTGGGCAATTATTACTGTTTTTAATAAAATACTGTAATATACTGTGAGTTGCATTGCATTTTGGGAATGATGTTAGATTCAACGGCAAGGAGGCTCTCTTTAAACAGAATCCTAAGGTAAGTTGGAGCATAATTTATTTGTCAGATGATGTTGTCATACAGTTGTCATTTTTATGCAGACTGTAGCTGTTTGAAAGTTAGCTTAGTTAATCTGTCATGCTGTAATAAGTAAGCTAGCATAACATTATTTGATATATCTCTTAGATAAGAAGGTAAATGATTAAAGTAATCCGTTTTCATTGTTACTTAGTTATTTTTTGATGATTCATATTTACAAATATTGACATGTTTGGACAATGTTGTTTTAGAAATAATGGTAAAGGTAATTTGTAGAAGTCACAATACTTGTTATAATTTTTTTATTTTATTTTTCAGGTGGCAAAGACCATGTGACTGATGGGCACTGGATGATCAGTCTCGAGAGCCATGTTGTATGTGAGGGCATTCAACCAACCTTTTTGACAGGGCTTGCTGCACTGTTTTCAGTGTACTACATCTTTAATCTACAATATCAAGAAGAGGCTGCATGTACACTTGAATTTATCCAGAGGTAAGTTTGTGTCCGCCTGTCCGCCCCCCCCCCCCCCCTTTCCCACATGTATAATAGTGGCGCAAAGTATTTTAATGCGGTTTTGATTTAAGGGGCTCTTTGCATAACTCCACTACTTCCTGAACGTGCGGTAGCTCCTTTGTTTCCTCTACTGGATAAACTGATCTATCCTGGTGAATCTGACCTAAGTAACCATGACGACAATGGCCAGACACACCTAGAGCCTGGGGATTACACAAGGTTACATTTTGGTACTTAAATTGATTCCTTCATTCTTTTACAAACCCAAATCAACATGACACCAACAGCCAAAAGTGCCTTTTTTTTTCTATATCATCCTTTTGTGGAAAGGCAGATTGACTATCATCCTTTAAATAACGACGGTAAAATAAACCATAACGGTTATTTCTCCCTTTCCTTTATTGTAACAATTTTTAAGGATCATAAGGAGCTAAAAATTGCCACTAAAAAGTGTGAGTGGTGTAGATGCTTGGGCTTTGATTTCTTATGTTCTTATGTGGTTGTTTTTTTATAGAGCACTAAAACCTTAGTGTTTCAAATTGCTAAAATACCAAACCCTGAATTAGATTCTGCCAAAAACTATTTTCACACTCATCTCTTTATAGTTTAGGCTTGGATGTTTTGATCTGTTTTTAACCGTGCTGTCTCCAGAGCTCTCAACTTTCATATTACCAAACACAGGAGAACCGTATTGATCCTCTCTGGGGCTTCTGGCAGAAAAGAAAGCATGTTTGCTTAAAAGCCCCTAAAGGATTCCCCTGCATGAACTCTGTAATGGAGAAAACAAAGATAGTCCCAGACACCATATGGGTTTTATTCAGAAACCTACGGCTGGGTCTCTCAGAGTCGAATCGTACAATAAATCACATCAGTCTGAACAAAAATTTCTGAGGCAGTTTATTAAACAAGTCAAAGTAATCCTGTCAAGTTTACAGCTCTATCAGCTTCCAGGTGCATCGGGGCCGAGTCGAGGTTTTGGCCTGAAAATCTGACTTTCCTCTGACTTCCAGATGTTTGCTCTACTTTACATCACACTGATGTCTTTGGAAGGCTTTACAATATCATTACCACAGACTAAAATACAACACAAAAGAGATAAAAATATATATATTTATAGAACCCTGAAAAAAAAAAAAGCTGTGTTCAACTTTCAAGAATGCAAAGCTTTGCAACATAAGCCCCAGGAAAAGGGATACATTTACAGATCAGTCTTTTATCTGATGAAGGAAACAAACCAGAACCTCCATCTTAATTTAGGACATTATTCTGTGTATGACAGCAGCAGGGTGATAAAGGTTAATAAATCATTGAATGAGGAGGAAATGTTCAACATCTCTCGTCTACAAAGAAGTTTTAAACCAGGGCTTATTCCTGTCAAAGAGAAACGAAAACATGTATCAATCTGACGAACAGCGATGTGAGGAACAGCTTAGCAAAAAAAAATAAAGTACCTCCAGTTATAAAAAGAAATGGCAATATTTGCTTACAATCGTTCAAACAAATGAAAAATGACACAGTAACATTATAGAGGGAGCCTTCTCTGCCCGTTCAGCTCTGAAATCTGAGGAAAGCTTTGAATGGGTTGACGACGCTTTGTCTTCAGGCCAAAGAAACTCAGCGGGTCTGAAAGGCTGTCGAATCCAGATCCCTCAGAGTTCTCTGTGCAAAGTTACAGAAGACAGAACATAACAGTCAACGACCAAGATCTCTTCCTCTGCCTTGCAACAACAGTTTGACCCTCTGCAGAAACGCTTTGAGTTTTCACCATAGACATGATTCTAGAACAATGGCCTAGAAAAAATACGGTTTATTGCATTCATCCATTCTTTATACCCACTCAGTCTTCTGTAAGTCTTTGCTGGTGTCTGCCTCAAATGATCAGAGAGCCAGTCAGACACAAAGATCTATGCAAGCACTGACTCACACTCAATTGCAAATGAGCAACCTCTAGATCTAACCTCATAATTTACATAAGATCTCCAGTGAGCATATAACCCACAACCTTCTGGCTGGAGGCAACCATGCTCCCCACTACCCCCCAGTACCCATAATATCTTATCAAACTGTTAATTCACTCAAACAACCAAATAATATGAGCGTATTTGATGCTGGTAGGTTTTATAGCTGACCAATAAAGTCTGATATAGTCCAATAAAAAAGGCACTCATGACTATAAAAATGAATTACCGAACTACCGCTAGCACTACATAATACAACCAATATTAAAACATAAACATAGATACTTACCAGGTAGTTTCAAGCCCTTTGCAATTACTTGACCAGAATTGGTTATCTGATAAGTTCTGAGACATTAACTAATTTCAATAAAAGTGCCTGGTCATTAAAAAAATATAAAAACCCTCAGGCAAGTGGCAGAGAAAAGCTCTAGTAAGTTATGAGAAAGCAAAATGCTGTGAACGTTCAATGAAAGCAGCTGGTAGGTTCTGCATAAAACCTTTAGAAATTTAGAGATACCTATTCACCTAACAGTCCTGTATTTTAACTGTGGGAGGAAGGCAGAGTACTGGAGCAAAATCATGCATGAACAGGAGAAGAAGCAAACACCATGCAGAAAGAGCCCCCGACCTGGTTGCTGCAAGGCAACAGTGCTACAAACTACAGCACCGTGCAGCCCCCGTTCACTTTGGTGGTTTTAATTCAATTTACATGTCATCTCTAATCTATATGATTGTGTATAAATCTTTACCCAAGCATTTAAAATAAAAAAACACAGCACGCTGAAGCTAGCGTATAGTAAAGTCCATAATGAGGATAAATGTTTTCATTTTGCATCAATATAATTGGATTGTAAATTATTAAACTATTATATCAATATGGATCAATGTCAGGAAAGTAACCTCCCGCTTGGAACTGACTTAAAGTTTCAAGAGTTGTCGACTTAGTTCCTCCTCACCGTGAATCCCAATCATGTGCTCCAGGATCAGGACCCTCTCTGCCAGAATCTTCAGGGCTTCTCGGAGCTGCTGCACTGCTTCCCCCTGAATGACACCATCCTCTTTATTGTGACCGGTTATAAAAAAACAAAACAAAACAGAGAGACCTGCCCTGTAATGTCTCTTACCTCACTCAAGCCCGACCCAGGCTCTCCCTTTTGCCCCAGTGATCCCTATGAGTGAAAAAAAGTCATGTTATCTCTACAAGTTGGAGATTTAAGGTTTACAATTCACATTAACCATAAACTCACAGGTAGGCCCTGCTCGCCTCTGGCACCGGGGGGCCCCTATAAGAGCAATAATATCAGAGTCAATCACATTTCTAAAAATTGAATTCTTTATCCCCGCAAGCTAATCTGCTTCTTCACTACTTCCCCAAACTCAAATCACACATGAAGAGAAAAGGGATCATGTTTAAAGACAGAGAACCCACTGGAGACCTGACTACAGAGAGGACCTAACATGGCTGCTCTGATATGTGAGGTCTGTATGTGGATGAGAGGGAGAACAGGATTAGTCACGGGATGGAGAGAGTCTTTGAAGAAAAGCTGGTTCCCCTTTGATACGTCCAAGAGTGCAAGACAGGGTCATTTATAACACAGAAAGCATTCAGACTCTTGATAAGTATGAAATATGTTCAGACAGCCTGATAATCCAATAACGAGGGTTATTTTTACCCTTTCCCCTGGATCTCCTTTAGGTCCAGGATTTCCCAGTCTGCCTGGGACACCTTCCCTACCCTGGTATCAGGGGAAAAAAAGAGTGATTGTTAATAAACATGATTTAGTTCCATCAACGCTTATGAGCATATAAGAAAGGCCTACCATCTGTCCTGGAAGACCTGGTATCCCTGCTGGTCCCCTTTCTCCAGGGGGCCCTGTGGTGTCATACAGAAACCAGAGAGAAGGCAATCATTCATAAATGCCATCAGGAGTTAGTGTTTCAATTTAACACTAATAACAATGTTTCATAACATCCTCAACCAACTCCTTGTTTATCTTTCCATAGCAGATACGTCTGGCTCAGTGATGATTGGTTTAACCGCGTCTCTTTCTTGGACAAAAGGGCTGGTGAAGCTATTGTTGACATCGTTTTCTAGTTCTCATTAAATACTCGGGCGGCTAAACCTCCTCTGTAAATTTCGTAATAATAATAATGATAATAATTAGTCAAATATGTATTGTCAAACCTCATAAATGCAGTCAATAAACTTCATTAAATATCTGCTAAAATGTGACTAAATTGATGAGTATGTTGCACATTGATCAGCTGTTCAGTTCTACGACACAATCTCCCTCAAGCTCTGGAGCAGCAGGATGCTGCTGGTCAGCCTCTATAAGAAATCCCTGTTGAGGATTGTGCCTCAGCGCTTTGAAGCAACCAGTGAGAAAGCAGATCCCTGATTAGATAACATACAAAAATACGTCACTTCCAGTGAGGCTAAGCCACTATTGGGGTCTGTGGAGCAGGGGCGGGTCATGAAGCTGGCTGCTCAATCCTGATTGGCAGAGCAGGCTAAAAGAACTGACAGGTTTTCCTCATGCAACTCAGACAAGAGAGGAAAAAGTGATCAATCTGTCAGAACAGTCATCTTGTGCCGAAGTCTTGCTGCGGTTTCTGGAGTTTTATCATTTCAGAGCACTTCTCAACAGCTATTTCCACCCGCTGTGAAGATGTGTTTTATGTGTTTCAACATTTTTTAATGCAATACATGATATTTGGATTCAAATGAGCAGCCGGCGCCACTGGTTGACTTAAACTGTGTGTTTTTACCCTCAGAAAAATAACTAAGAGTTATTGGGGTCATTAACCATTTCTCCCTCTCTTTGCCTTTGCTCTCACAGAGAGTATTCATGGTTCAGTGCTTCTATACAACGTATCTAATGGAAAACACTCCCTATGCAGTAGTAGCACAGTCTGGTTCTGAAGGAAGTTCCTCACTGTTTAATAGGTGTGCTTCCTCTCCACCATCCCCACATACTTGGGATGGACTGGTTATTATTTTAACAGCAAACAGTAAATTATTTTTATTGTAATAAGATGAGAACTGGAATTGATGTATTTTATTCTGAATCTGACTCTTTATGTGCTTAGATTAAGATTAAATCAACAGAGCTACTGAATAGTAATCTGAAGTGATATTTGCTGTCAAATGACACTATTAGGATAAACCAGACTGAATATGTTTATTGTGATTCTGTGATAAACATCCTCCTTTACACCGAGATGAAATTTTACCCAGACTGTGATGCATAATTTATGCACAGCTTAAACAGCAAACACATGCTGTTGACTCACTAGGCTGCTTTGCAAATTCACAACTATGACTTATTTGCTTGATGGATATAAACCATGCAGCTCTGACACCATGTTTTTGTAATCTTATACTCAACCAGGAGCTGGACTTATACAGGACATATGATACACATGCATATTGTTCTGAGGCCTCTTTTCAGACAATATTTATACAGAGAACGGCTCTGGTTCCTACCCGAGGGGCCGACAGGACCAGCTGGTCCAGGGGGACCAGCTCTAATCTGTGGAGCAGCGAGGACTGGATGGTTGGGATCCATCTCTGAGGGGAAATACAAGCATCAGTGACAATCTTCCCACATTTAAACAGTTTAACTGTGTTTAACTGTCATAAATATAATGCTGCTAGGTAGCAAGCCAAATATTTTCACTATCAGCAATGTGGGGAGTTTAAATATGTCCCTCATGGGTCAAATTACATCAGAGATGAAATTCTGATTATTTTTCCAGAGGAAATTACATAAAACATAAAAAGCTTCTTAAATAAATGCTGCCATGAATAAGCATTGGGTACATTAATAAGGTTAACTCGGCCTGTAAAGTTATAGTAAAAAAAAAATACAAAGTTCCAATAATTATTTATGTATAAATAACAGAAAGACAGAAAGACGTTACAATCAAAACAGAAACAAAAGCAAAAATTAAAACTAGTATTATGCATTTTTTCAAACTTTATTATATTTTTATCATGGTCCTAATGAGCACAAATGATGACGATGGATCTTTTTAAGATATATTGGATTGTTATTGTCATTGAGTCAAACTAAAATATAATGCACATTATAAATAGCTATAACTTAACAAGCATAATAAATAACAGAGTCTGGGTCATTAAAGTGATAAAATAAGCCTGTTGTGTCAGATTCTAAAAACGCTGATGTATGTGGTAGAGGGATTTAAACTCAAGTAAGAAAAGGTTTGTTTACTCCCTGCTTTAAAATGATAAAGTTTGAAATGTAGGATAAAATGATTTAAATGGTGATTTCTAACTGAGCCATGCATTTTTTTTATTCTTCATAGCAGTTCAGATACATGCTAAGTGTTTTTTTTTTTATTGCATCATACAAAGATAAGAGACCCATACAAAGAGCAGAGACCACATTAGTCTTAGCGGTAGTTTATCAAAGTTTGAATAGAAAATCCTGGCTAAAGTAATCCTTCCTATTACACTTATGAACACTTTGTCTCTTTAAACCTAATAATGTAACATATTTTATTGGGAATTTTGTATCTTTTATATTCCAGCTTAGAAGGATAAGGATAAATATGTTTAAAAGAGCTTTTTTTTTATCATATAAATCTAAAAAAGCATGATGTGCATATACTCCGTCCAACAAGTAAACATATCTCTTCGGGGAATCTCTAAATCAGTTTTGGAAATCTGGAGTGAAATTTGATCATCTTTCTCTTTGGGAAAGTTCACAGTGCCAATAAGGTTTGATGGAGAGACTATGTGCAAATCAATTTTCATGTCTTGTTACAGAATCTTGCTTTGGTGGTATGTTCAGCGTCCAGTCTCTCAAGTCAATTACCGTCTCTGACAGAATTTCTTACTGGACTGAGTTATATTTAGCTCCACCCATCTGAGCATCTTACTGGAGTCTATTGCAGGAAAACTTTCCCACAGTATAATGTTTCCATCACCATGGTGTTAGTGTCAGTTTTTCTGCCCCATCATGGTGTTTTGCTTTTCAGATTGGCGTTTACCATGTCCCTCAACGGTTTGCATAATTTTATGCAGGAAACAAACAAGATTTCTTTTGTCTTTCATGCAATAGTGGATTTATGCTAAGAAAAAAAATTCAAACGTGTGAACTATTTAATGTCTGAATGCTGCTGGCTGGACTGGGCTGTATTCAGGGGTAGGGTATGAATGCACGCCACAGTTCTTCCATTATTTGTAAAAGCATTAAAAACTGCAATCAATTTTCCTTCAATTTTCCACCACCTTGTCTTGGTCGATAACATAGAATCCCAATAAAACAACTGTTAAAAAGTACATCACTGTGTAGACAACGTTTCAACTATAAACCATAAGATAAGAGCAGGTTTGAATGTACAGTGTGATGAGAGGGTTGAACAAAAACATTTGAGGATTATCAGCACACTCTGTTCCAGCTCTGCACACTTAGGAAGAAAATAACAGATAAAGCTGAACAAAGAACAAACTGGCATGCATCAGATAGTATCTGCTCATATATACAAAAATAGGCTGATAACATTGCATGCAAGTAAATATCCATGTTTAGGTTCATGGAAAATGTATTCTTAGTTCACATTTAGTCTCAGTCTTCCCCATCATCAGTAAGAACTGAGGAAGTTTCTTGGATGAGAGACGTTTCGCCTTAACTGAACTTTCGAGCTTTACATTCATACACTTCTTTCAAAAGAATAACTTCTCAGTGTGAAAGTCTAAAGCTACGGTGGAGATTCCTGAGCTGGATGGAGTTGGATGAGATCCAGCCTGACGGTGACGACCAGGAACAGCTGTCTGATCTAAATAAGGTCCCATTTTACAGCGCAGGAAATACTCCAAGGTGCTACAAGTTTGAAGAAAACACACAGGACCAGGAAGTCCTGTCTTAATCCACGCATGTTAGATATTTCTACATTCATTTGTGGGGATAAATTTAGTCTTAAAAACCACCTCACACTTCCTCATCACTTCAGCATATGCTCATTCTCAGTCTTCCCCCCACCTCCATGTTGAGACAGCCCTGTTACATTATGGCTGCAGTCCACAGAAAAAGGGGTCTAGAAGAAGCAGATTTCCCTCTGGAACTAATTTTCTAATGTTACAGTCTCCTCCAGTCTGGCTGCCTCCCCAAGAAACTCCACATGAGTGGCAGAATATCTCCTCCCTTGTTCAAAGCCAGCCTTGCTCTTGGCTCGGGGCCGTGGCCAGTCCCCCTCCCCGAATCACAGATTGTTGTGCTGACAGCTAACAAATTAGACCTGATTTACAGCCAGTCACCCCCCTCCGCTGCCTTTGCTTACATGGTCCCACAGACCCAAATCTACATAGCTTCAGACCCGCAGACACAGTCCTGGGCTCTGAGAGGCAGGCGAAGCCAAAACGTCTAATCAGAGCCAGCAGGCCTCATGAGGTAATACTGATTACACAGACTCCTGCTGCCTCCCTGTGGTAACACTGCAGTACTGGATGGCAGCATGCTGATGTGTCTGGGTTTTCCTTTTTTTTTTAGATCAAAAAGAAATATTCGCTTCCATCTAACCAGCACAAACTAAGCGGTGACGACATGTAAGCAAAGAAAACATGAAACACAGAGCAGTAAAGGAAAATTATGTATTTTCAAAGCAGCCACAGCTAATCCTGTCATTTATATTGGTGGGTATGCTCATTAAAAGCTGCTCTATATGGTGGCTGAGCAGTAACAAAACCCAGAGAAACAATTAAACTACAGGGATTGCAGACATTTTCAGACTCCTTTAAGAATTTCACTTTCTGTCACCTTATAAACTTCAATGCAGAGTCTTTTTAGGAGGTTTTTTTAAGTGACCAGAGTTTTCAAAAAAAGTCTGAAACAATTAATTCCTCCAAATAAAACCTGCCCAAATAATAGCCTTTAAAAGTCTTTTTATAAGTAAATGGGATTCATTTTTGTTGGATTTAATCTCATCATGAATCCAGTTTCTCTGTAGAGGCTTGAAATGTTTATTGGAGATAATAAGTTAACAAAAAGCATCATAAAGGCCAGGAGAACAGCCGAGGGATCAGGGGGGAAGTTGTGAAGAAGTTTAATGCAGAGTTAGGTTCTTAGAAAGTATCTCAAGCTTTAATCATCCCATGGAGCGCCATTTGAGTCCATCATTTAAAAATGACACAGCGCTATGAAATCTAACACTATCCATCTGAAGTGACAGTTTCTCGACAGAACAATGATATTTTGTACTTTTTGCAAGTTTGGCCTTAATGGAATAGTGGCAAAAAAACAACAAAACAAAATTCTTCAACACCATGCATCTAAAAGTTGCAAGGATAGCAGCTCTGGAGTCCTGGACTTGGAAATTCCTGGTCTAAGGGACAAACTCTATATTTAGAGGGAAAAAAGACAGCTAACCCTGCTCCCATGAACACTATGGTGAAACATAATGATGGCAAAATCATGCTGAGGGAATGTTTTCTGCAGCAGTGACAAAGATCCAGCTCAGAGTTGACGGACAGATGGATGAAGCTAAATAAATGTAAAACTGTCTGAGGATGTAAAATAGTTGAGGCTATGGTGGAAGTTCACTGTCCAGCAGAACACACAGTTAGACATCAAATCCCATTGTGTAGAATGGCCAAGTTAAAGACCAGACATTCAAACATAAACAAGTTGCTAGACTTTAAAGCATGTGTTTAGTAATGCTTTGGATCCAAACTGACTGAGGCTGAGCTGTTGTGCAAAGAACAGTAGGAAGAGTTTAGCCTGTCATTTTGTCGAACGAGTAGAAAAATACCCAAAGGCTTTCACTGAAGTAAAAAGTAAAAATTTACAGGATGCACTTTACTGTTTATCTTTTTCGAATAAATAAAAAAAAGGGTTTGATGACCATGAACTGAATAATATTTGAACTATTTAGTCTTGGTCTGCACCCAATAATTTGACTAAAGTTACTAAAGTTCTCTAATAAAAGCTTATGTTTCTGTCTCTAAACAGTACCAGCATGAATCCATTTGGACTTTAATCTTCAGTGTAATGAGTATAAATGTCTGAGAAATGTTCACGGCTCGCCCTGAACTGTGAAACAGTCTTACTTTACCTTTTGGCATCAATTCCTTCTGACCACCCAAACACTGAACATTAGGAGGTTTTTACAGCAGCTCAGTGGTCAAAATTAAACCATAAATGTAAGACCTTGTTTAAACGTGGCACTCACTCCTGTGCTCAGTAATCTGATCACACCATTACAGCCCAGTGACAGGTGCTAACACCCAACAAAAACATTAATGTTGGTTTTCGTCAGACCACTTCCAAAGGTGATATGGGAGTTTTCTACCAACCTGTTCAGGAGTCTGAAAACAGATCTGATCATTACGATCTTATAAAATCCATAGTTATATGAGTTAATCTTTGATAGATTATACCTTGAAATTACAGTTTGGATCATCCTTGATACAAAACAATCATTGTTTTTATAATTTCTGGAGCTGATCACGGTATTTTACTTGGGATGAAGCTACGAGTTCATTTTAATGCTAGCAAACGTCTGGGATCTAATCAATCAGGATGGTTTTGATTCCAGGTTCTGATCTATTTCTGTCAAATTTATCCTAGTTGCCAAATAATGGTTAAACTTTTAAACAGCATCAACAGGTCATTTTGAACAAGCCCTTTTTTAAGGTTTCTTACCTGGATGAAAAACATCTCCCCGAATAGGTAAAGGAAAGGAACCAGACGCTGGAGGACCTGGTGGACCAGGAAGACCTGGAGGACCGGGGCGCCCGGTCTCACCTGGGAGACCTCTGTCCCCCTTTTCTCCTGAGCATTAAGAAAAACAGAACAAAACAGTAAAGTGAATATAAACAGAACTCAGAATATACCTCAGTCCATTTGACTAAACAGATTAGACTTGAATAATAATGATTTTTTTCTATGGGGAGCTTCTCCATCACCTGTTCTTCCAGGAGGGCCTGGAATTCCTCTTGGTCCAGCAGGTCCGGGTGGTCCAACAGGTCCCGGTGCCCCCCTAGCTCCTGTGGAAAACATAAAAAAAAAAGGAGTTTAAATAGAACAGATATTATTACAGTTGCAGATAAACTTCCTTATGACTGAAAAGTGGAGACATTGGTTTGGTTTCTATCTAAGATCGAAAATAACAAGTTTATATTTCCCTGTTGTAGCATGATCACAATATTTAAACAAAAAAATCGGAATTTTTACTTCTGCCATCGATAAAATGAATCATTATGAACTCATAAAAAAACAATCTTGAAACAGACCTTCCGATCCCAGTGGGACATATTTAGGTAAATACAAAACATTAATATATCTAATTGAAAAAAAAAAAAATAAATATATTATATATGTTTGAGTTTAATTGCAGCTAAATGTCTAAATATATCAAATCTTCAAGGAAATGTAAATATTATCTGTTTTGCCTTAGGTAATAAACATGATGTAACACAGTAGCCCTGCATTAAGGTGCAGAGTACGGTAAAGGAAGAAATGCTCGATTTGAAAGAGCAGAGTAACATCTTAATGTGTCTAGGTCATCTGCCTTAAATTACTGAGTCTTTATATTCAGCTGAAAATATTTCTGCAAATAAATATGCCAAATGGAAAACAAAAGATAAATGCGGTGGAAAGCACCTGCCGCCCACTGTTAGGGCATGGTTAGTGACTCCAGAGGCAGAGGTCCATGCATTTAGTACTTTTAGAAATGTCAGTAAGATTTGAATAGATCTGAAAAAGACATTGTATTAAAAAACACATCAAATATCAGATGATATCGCTGTGTAAAAAAAGTAAGGCTTTTTATGAATCAGTAAAAGGGCCGTAAATAAAAGGATTCTGTATGTGAAAGTTAAAATATCGTATAGTATATCTAAATACTAGGGATGCACGATATTGGGATTTTGGCCGATATCCGATATGCCGATATTTTAAAACTCATGTAGCCGATAACCGATACCGATGTTAAAGCTGGACAAAAATACGTAGTCATTGAAAATAGCAGTTTTGTTATCCATTTCTGACACTTTGAAAAATAATATACTCAAATATATTTTCATATGCTGATATCAAACTGATTTTTAAAAACGCGGTATCGATCTATTTTACTTTCAAAATCTCCTGAAATTTCATCATTCTGTTACAAACTCTCATGATATCTTGCAAATTCTTGTGAGATTTTGTTAGTAAAATAGATTGATACCGAGTCAATATATCAACATATAAAAATACGGCAAAATTTCGTGAATTTTCAGGGGATTTCGTAGCATAACGATGACATATAGCAATATTTCATTAGTAAAAGAGATTTTAAATGGCAATATATCAGCATATGAAGATATTGTGATATTTTAATGTATCAATATTTTTTCCCTTGTCTTTAGAAGTTTTTAAGTCTGTAAAAAATAAGTTTGAGGAAGAAGTAGTATTTTTTTTTTTTTTAGACTTTAGAAACTCAGAAGCTGATCAAATATCGGGTTAAATATCGGTGTCCGATATTCAGTTTTAAGGCCGATACAGGCCGATACCGATAGGGGGCCGATTATATCGTGCATCCCTACTAAATACATATTTATACATTGTTATTAAGAAAATATTGAAATAAATCAAGTTTTTTGTAGATTATTTGAGATTTTCAATGAACATTTTAATGATTACAACATTTCCGTTTAATTTAATTTAGGTATTTTTAGAAGAATGTGGGAAATTATCACAACATAGCGATATAAAGAGAGCTTCCTTAAAAGTAAAGTAGAAACTTTGACATGACTTTCTTTTGAAACCATGATGAACTTTTGTTCAGCCACCAGCTCAAAATGCATCGATAAGATACTGAAACTAATTAAAATTACTTAGGGGATAAAGAAAAATAAGCATTCTAAGAGGACCTCCTTAAAAAAAAATAAAAAAAAAAACATCCTCACCGTATCAAGGATTATTAAACACCATTTTTCACTATTGAAAGAAAAATGTGAAAATCCTGAGGAAAAAGTCATGTAGGCTGCATGGAAACATAGCCACAGTGTTTATGAAGCTGTCCATAAAAGGGTTTGTGGTGTGTTTGATGGTTAGCAGGAGCGTTAAGAGTATAATGAATGCCCACAGACTAGATCCATTTTGTCCCAATAAAAAGGACAAATGTTTCATATATCGACTTATTAAGTGTAACATTAGGAGGTTAAAGCTAAACATTTCCATCTGTTGTTCTGTTTCTGCTCAAAGACACAGTTTTTCCACATCTGCATTCATAAACATGTTTTCTGTGATGTGGTGACACCTTGTGGCAGGTACGGTGGTGAGGTGGGTCGACGAGTGTCCACCTCGTTTCCTGTCGATCCATCTGGTAATTTGGCTTCAGGCGAAGATGATCGACCCTCCTCCAACAGTTTGATCTGCGGTGGAAGCAGCACAAGTTTTCACTATAGGCATGCTTTCAAATTATTTTTAAACTTTTTTTAGGGTGGTATTTACCTTTGATTCAATGGCATTTATTCTGCTGCTCATGTCGTTAAAACTGGTGCAGTTCATGCATTCTGTAGGGAAATACAAAAAGGTAAGTAGATGAGTTTAAATCTCCTCCAGCTGGTTGTTCTACTGTCATGTTAACAGGCATAGCTACATGTCTTTACGTCAGAGCAAACAAAGCCAAGTTACACAAGAAGAAATTGCAGGTTAACCGAACCTCTGAAATCTTTAAATCATACAATTGTACCATCTGATGTGTCCGGAGTTTATTTTCTGTCTGTCCCTTTTATGAAGACAACTATTATGTTAGGCACTTTTATTGTTTTAAAAAAAAAACCAAAAAAAACAATAAAGGCAAAACCACTAACTGGTAATTTATACATGAGGAAAAGGATGTTTGATCTTCTTCTTTAATTTGAAACAAAATATTCCACTTACAAGGTTGGTCAACCTTTCAATTAAGTTCATTTTTTTTCCTCCCACAAACTTTTGCCACACAATCTCACAGCACATCTGGTTATAAAATGCAAGTTATGGTAAAAAAAAATCCACATTGCAAATATTTCTTAAAGGCATTTTTTACTTTCTGAAAAGAAAAAAGTACCATGAGAAGAGGGGTTCAAAAATAAGCAAAGTTTTTCTGGAATCTCTGCCACAAAATCATAATTCTGCATTTTGAGTGTTGATAAATTCTGTGTTGAGAGTCATAACACAAAGAAGTCAAAATCAATGTATATTAATACTTTGTAAAGACTGCAGCAACAAACAGATAACTTTATCTCATGCTGCGCTATGCATACACTCTGTCTGCACTGGTTAAGATTCACTTAACTCTGCAATCTAAGTGCTCAGGGTGACTCACATTACAGCTGACTTTATTTTATGTTGTATTTAATCCAGGTAATAATTTTTGATCAATTAGGGGCACTATAGACTTTGTATAGAATGACAATCAGCTTGGTCAGATTAACAATTTGTAATGGATACTGTATAAAATAAATAACAGTAGTAACAGTGAATATTAAAACCCTCATCTTAACCAACACAGACATGACAGAGATTGATGGGTTTTTTTTCAAACTGTTTATTATTTCTTATTATTATTTCTAAGTGGTATTAGGACAAATAAAGTGCCAAAATTTTAAGGCCCAAAAAATTTGATTCATCCATGAATAAGAAAACAAAGTAATAACACGGCTGAACAGATATCTACAAGCCAGATGGCTGTTAAAGAATCAATGCTGTAGTTTACGTTATGGAAATAGAGAGATATAGTCTTTTCATTTCATTAGTGGCTCTTCATTTAGGTCAGGGGTTAGGTCATTTAGGTCCGGTCGTCTAGAGCTACCATACTGTAAAGTTTAAGCCCCTGTATCACCTTGACGATTAAGCCAGCGTATTCTGACGTACTGAAAATCTGGCAAAAACACTGGCATACGTTGGATAAGTTATGGGTATGTTCTGTATAAGTTATGAGCATGCTGAAGTACGCTGAAACATGCTTGCACACGTTGACAAACGGCGAGTACGTCAACACTGACGATGCAAGCTTATGGTCATACATGGCCCATAAGTTAGAGGTAATTTATCTAATCATTGACATACGTAAAGTGTAAGTTACTCATAAGTCCTGGGGTCTAGCTCATCCAAAACCTATGATTAACTTGTGCATAACTTATGTGTAACTTATTATCTCCAACGCATATAAACTTAATTGACGTGTTCCAGACGAACGCTGAACATGTTTCTAACTTACAGCTACTGTATAGTGGTGTACTAGAAGTGTTTTGGTATGAAACGGGGTTCACAGGAGGAAACTGTCAGTTTTCCTCCAGACTGCATCTCTATCATAGGGTGAGCGAGAAGGTGAATGGGGTGGATCCTCCCTGCGTTCACGACCACGGACAATAAACTTTTAGCAGACATAACGCTGAATCTGCTGCAACTGAAAAACCTCTTTCTTTTTCCTTTTTCTCTTTATTTATACTTTGTTTTTGTTTTTTGGACGGGTGGTAAAGAGCAGTTAGGGTAATACCACGATCAAAGAAAGCTTTTTATGCAGACCAGGGGCCTCCGGGTGCATTGCTGCCCCCTTCAGGACACTGGGTTGTGACATTCCATGATCATTATGCTACCGTGAGTTGTGCTTTAGTTAGGCTGTTGTTTCACATAGGTTTTGGGCTCGTTATAAATACCCTTTGTATACGCACAAAATTCAAAAAATACATAGAAAGTTTAGCGTATGCCAGCGTTTTAGAAGATTCTGGGACGTCAGGCATACGCTGGCTAAATCAGCACGGTATGAAAGGGGCTTAAGATGATGATGATGAATCTAAGGTCTCAATCCTCTCAGATATCTCAGCATAAGTATGGTAAGAAGCCACTCATTTAATTCAGGTGTGTTAAAATAAGGTGCATCTAAAAGCTGCAGGATAGAAGTTCTTGAGGACTGGACTTGAGCATCCCTGATTTAAATAATGTTTAGAGAATTTTTATCTTCATGGGCTTCTAAAGAATAGGTTAATTGCTCATTTTAGCTCTGAAACATACCACCTATTCATCAACAAGTCCCACACAGTATGGATAAAAAAGTTTTAGTTTTATTTAGCAACACTTGCTTGAACAGCTAAACAGTAAAACAATCAGAGTGGTAGCATGTAGCACATGAAAATATAAGGGGGAAGATTAAACATAAATAAACACATTTCAATTCTGTACACTGATTTTGACTGCAGGTAAAGTGATAAATGAAAGAAAATATTTCGTGTTTTTTTGTTTTATTAAGCTTTACGTAAAGAAACAAGGGTATGGTTTTTATTATCTTAGAAAATAAAAAACTCACTCACACACTATGATGTTATTATTTTTTGATATTTAATAGAATTTGTAAGCAACGCTAAGAGACTATGTTAACAGAACATGTTTCGCGTGTTTATTTCTGTTTCTATATATGTATTTATTCCAATGACACCTTGAATAAATGTATTTATTTATGCATATTAATATAACACATACCCAGCACAAACTTTTCTATATCTTCTTACTGTTTTCTACTTATGGACATTTTTCATTACAAAATCCAGGTTACCTGCTGCTAAACCATGGATACACTTTTCTTGCTATATGCAGCCTTTTGACCTTTAGGCTGTAAAACCTTTTCAAAACAGGCCCAATCGCCTTCAATTTAACCACACATTTCTTTCAAACCTCACCATCCTCTGGTTTTAGGCTTAGAACAAGTGTGGAATGTCAGCTGTCAGTTGCACAGATGGGCCCCACCCACACTGTGGCCACTGCAGGAACAACCAGAAGGCGTAACAACTGGTGCTCATAAATAACTAAAAGCAACAACAAAAATGACCCAAACAGCTCAGTCTCAGACCACTGCCAGCAGCACGCTACGGCCAGTTTCTGAGGTTTCTGCTCCACTATAATAAAACAAGGTGAGCATCTAAAATCACATACAGAGGCATACAAAAGTATGTATCACCCTTTAGGACTATTGCAATATTAAATGCACAAACTTCAGCATCTTTTAATTGGGAGTTAATGCTTGGCTTTCATTAGCAGTCGGCCTTGTTTACTCTGATGCTCATAAAATAAATCCAGGTCAACCGATTCGGGACTCAACTTATTTGCAAATATAGATAAAGAAAATCATCATGAGGACCAAGGAATGTAGCAGACAAGTCAGATATAAAGTTATGCAAAGGTTTAAATCAGGGTTAATTTCTAAAACAATACACCGGGCACTCAGCATCTCCCATAGCTCTGTTCTAGAAGGGATAGAGAATAACAGTCCAAACCTACGTAGATATAGTGGTCCATCTAAACTGACAGGCCTTGCAGCAACAGCATTAATCAGCTAACCAGGTGAAGCCCTGTGGTATCTTTGGAGGAGCTGCAGGGATCCACAGCTCAGATGGGAGAATCTAAAAAAACCCACTGTCAGTTGTGCAGAGAAATCAGGGTTTTACGGAAAAAATTGACAAATCTGAAAGTCTGTTCTAAGAAAAAAAACCTTTCCACAAGAAGAGAAGAGGATGCAGAAAACATATGATGATCTTCAGATCAGGCATCACCCTTTTTCTCTTTGAATAAAAGTGCGCTGTTGAAATGCTCTTTTTTTTATAGTGTAAATGTGTGGCCCAAGGTAGCATTTCTGAATTCAAAGCCTATATAACCAGCGCATTTTGCTCCTCATCATGAAAACAGCCCCTGAAGGGGACAGGGGGAGACAGGTGTGTGAAGCACATCGACATTTCTTTTTTTCTGCCCTCGTCTGACCAGCCAGACTGACTTATAACATGTGGATTCATTGCACAGCTTGTTTGTCTGGGAAGGTTCAGACTCTCTCGTCAAATACTGACTGGACCAATCACATGCAGAAGGTGTATTACCCATAATGCAACAGTGCTTTTCTGTAACCCTAACATTTAAGATTGCAGCTGCTACGAGGTAATTTTTATTAATGATGTCCTTTATTACGTGAAAAATGAGTTGTGCATATCTTTAACATTTCCACAGCTGATTTTAAAAGCTTTTCTTTATAAGTAAGATGTTTTTGCGTCAAATCTGTAGTTATCTCTTGACTGTAACCTGTTTTCACTGGCTCTATTAGTCCCGTCTTTGAAGTCAGGCTCTACCAGCTCCTTTGCAGACCGATACGACCAACAAGTCTATTTTTACACAGTTCCTGGAACTTTTCTTTTCCTTCAAGTTTGTTTACGTGTTTGTAAATTTATATTTGTTATGCATTTTATAGACACTAATTTGGCATTGTTATGCTCTGTTCTGTTGTTGCTAATTTGATTGTTGGAGAAAAGGACCTGTTGTGTGGAACAGGAATAAATACACAATGTTCAAGCTGTGCCTGTAATGAATCTCACACTGCTAAGAGGGCACATGTGGCACACAATGTGCCTTATTTTTCCTTAAGCAGTCTCCCCCAAAAAATGTATTGTTGTCAGAGTTGAGGATGGAGGTAAATACAGAAAATGTTTCAATAAACTGATTTACTAAAGATAAAAACACTTTATAAATTAAAAACAGAATAATGTTTTCAGGT